AAAACAAGCTTCATCTGTAAACAGTATTCGACTTAGGAAACCTGGATTTCGTCTTATTTTACCGCGTAACCAATTAGAAAAATCTAGTCTTACAGGCAAATATCTGGACAATAAAGCTTGCACACGTTGCATGTGATAGGGATATAGCTGCTGGGCTCTCAAAATCTGTCACACTGTGACATGAGTAATATTCAGTTTTTCAGCTATTTTTCGAGTACTGGTATGAGGATTCACTTCAATCTCATTCAAAACAGCTTCTTCAATTCGAACTGTTCCTACCGTTGCAAGCCCCCCAATGAAAACCGTAGATCTTTTAAAGCTGCCTGTTTCAGAAAGTCGTGCATGGAGACGTACAAATGTACACTGATAATTTCAAAGATTTCTAATGTGATGTCGTGAATAAACACATTTTCTTGAGCTCACATTGCAAACGCTGGCCGAACCCTACGAGATAGATAAAAAAAAGTACTACATATGTGTACATATCAAAAAGATCTACAAAAAAGTCCACGATGGTATATGTCCATCTATTAGGGATAACCCACAACAACCTTTCATCATCCTCGAGAAATAATGGTTTACTCACGAAGTGATTTCCAGCAACACAGCACTGATCCTTATCCAATTAAGTACCTCAAATACATTGTACAATTAATATAAGTAGATCAATATGACCCATAACAGCATGTTATTCAAATGAATATTTTGCATATTCAAAATGCAGCGTCATAGCGGTTGTGGCGATACCGGCCGTGGGGCAAGCGGCGCGTGCCTAATAATAGTGCGTCGAAGGCCGCGCTTCGTCCTATAGCACTTTATGATTAGCAGCGACCGCACGCGATCAAATGTATACTTATTATCAGCATTGCACCCGTGCGGCACCAAGGCGAGTCGCTATGACTTCGTAATTTCGAATGAAGAAATCGATATTCAATGATAAAAATATCCCCTTGTATACGCCCAGGACGTCAAATTTAACATTTGTGGCAAAATTCAGCCCTACAGATTCGAATTTTGGCAAAATGAAAAAATATTTCCACCATTCCGTTATTCCATGTACTATCAATGTTTCCAGTGTTGAAAAAAAAAAGAAAATTATTCAACACGTCATTTGTAATGATTTAATTAATCGAATCACCCTCTTTGGATGAGCAAATCAGGGTTGAGTCATGGCTTGCAAATGAATCATATACTGTGATAAGTCGGTGATGCATTGAGAAAAATAGTGTCATAAAGACGTCACATTTTCAGAAAAAGCAGTGAACAAACTGAATTTTTCCTAATTTTAATTCAGAATGAATTGAAGTTTTGAATGCAACAGTAATGTCAGAGTCATCTTTAAAAAAAAACAGAAGAATTAACCTGTACATTTCTAAGGATTATTCAGAGCAGGGGTGTTCAAACGGTCGATCGCGAGTGCTTTTTAGTCGATCTAGAGAAAAAAAATCCGATATGAAACTATTCACAGATTTTGTTTTAGTATATATGCCACTAGAATAAAAGAAAATGAATAAACTACTAAAATTTATTCGATCCACAATTACGCCAGAATAACACCCTCATTACTTTCTTTCATCGTAATAACCCCCTGCTAGCGGCAAAAGGTGGCTTTATCAAAGGAACGCGCGGTACTTGTCAAAGAAAATCCGCGGCGATTCCCGTCGACTTTTCTAGAAACTTCGGGCGGCGTGTTTGGCGGGAACATTCGAGACTCCGTTCGCGTCTGCAGGAGTCAGTCTGAGTAATAACGTGAAGGCGATATAAGGTTTATTAATAAAAAGTACAAAATGAGTGCCGCGAAGAAAACGTATCACTTTAATAACGATTGGGAGGAAGAATTTTTCTTTTGTATGGAAAAGGATAAGTGCATTTGTCACATTTGCCATGTGTCGGTTGCAATACCTTAGCGTGGGAACTTAGAGAGACATCATAAAACGGTTCACGAAAACTATGAAAAATATTTTCCATCACAGAGTGGATTGAGAAAACGAAAAGTACGTGACTTGATAACTTGTATGAAAAAAGAACAAAGCATGTTCACAAGACCAGCCAAACAATCAAAAGCTGCCACAATCGCGTCATTTAAAATATCTCATATATTGGCGACACACAAGAACCCATTTGAAGTTGAATCAGCTGAATAGAGTAAATCACATAAGACCGAACGCTCCAGTAGTAACTGATGATAAAGAAAGACAGACGAAAAACACAGTGATGCAGCTGGAATTTCTTGAAACTCAGGGTAAACGGAAGGAGGAAAAGGAGCTCAATGAAAATTTTCCTGAAGAAGAATAGGAGATTGAATCACTTAGTGATATAATTTCACCGACACCAGGGTAGTTGGGAGGACGTTACGAAGATAATGGCCGGTTTAAGGAAAAAAAAGCGACAAAAAACACATACCAGCTCCAAAGAGGAGAGGAAAGTGCTGAAGCTGGCTATCAAACTTCCAGCAAAAGCTGTAACTACTTGGACCGACTTCGACAAGCGGAACATGGTACCATCTGGAAAGAACGAAAAGGGTGAACAGGCTAAGAATAATGAAGATCCTTTTTTCTGAGGAAGTGAAAATCTAAGTCAGTTTTGTGATATATACCGGTTAATAACGCAAGTATATTGTTTGTTCTTTCTACTAAGGGAATTTTAATGCCATCGTACAACAAAATCAAGTACTGAATCGAACTAATATTTGTAAACCTTTATTGAATCTCGTGCAAGGGCTGCATCTAACAGATACTTGGGATTTAACTCAAAAAAATTAAATAGAATATACTTTTGTTAGAGAAAATACGGCATCACTTTTTGAAACAAATGAAAAGTTGAACAGAGGCGAAAACGTTTTGAATGAATATAGGGAGATTGAAAATACAATATTCCAGCTGAAAGACCAACAACTGAACACTAGGTTCAAAAATAAAGATAAGGAAGGTATAAACGAGAGATACAGCCTGTATGATCTCATGAAGCAAAAGAAAAACAAAATATTCATTATTCCTTCCGTAAAAACTGAAAATGGTCATATACTTACAAATTCTAAAGATATGATCAACTATGCTAATACCTTTTACTCAAAATTGTTTAATGATAATCAACAGGACCCACAAGTCAATGACAGGGACACCAGGTGTCTACTTGTTCATATTAAAAACAAAGTATCACATCGTGATAACATGTTTTTGAAAAAAGATATAACTGTGGAAGAAGTGAAAGGAGTGCTTGCTGGAACTGCCAAGAAAAAAATACCTGGCTTAGATGGACTCACTTATGAATTCTACTTGACGTTTTTCGATGAACTCGGGAATGAGCTTGGTGAAATGCTTAACATGCTACTCTCCGGTAAGACAATAACACCAAAAGAATTGTCAGAGGCAGTCATTACCCTTCTCTCAAAGTAAAGAACGCAAAAGATTTGTCCTATTTTAAACCAATCACACTGCTCAACACTGATTACAAGTTGTTTATGAAAATAATTGCATCTCGAATGAAAAATATAAAAAATATTATTGGACTGGAACAGGTAGGTGGTAACAATGAATCAATATTCAATAATTTGTTGTTAGTGCGGGACACAGTTTTATTTTTCGAAAAAGATAAACAACAAGCAGGTGCGATACTGTCACTGGATTTCAGTAGAGCTTTTGACAGGGTAAATCATAAATACCTGTGGGCTGTAATGGGAGCAATGGNTCTTAAACGCGTAGGCTTTGCTTGGTTTCTATGGCAGTAAAAATTAATGCGTTGTTGATATCTGTTGAGAACTGTCAGACATTTATGAACATATCAAAGATGTAATCGAATGATGAATGGACTATTCAGTTATGCAAAATCAAATAGAAATCCACTTATGGCAAGAAAAATGTATGTTGAGCTATGCCCGAATCGTCGTTTTCGAACATCCAGCTATGATACATTTGACAGAAAGAAAAGTAGAAAATGTGTGGTTACTGGAAGTGTGAGGAATCAAATAAATGTTATGGGTAAGCAAATATTACTACATGAAAATTTACACAGTGAAAACACCTTTTTATATTTAGGATTGGTCAGTTACAAAATGTATGCCAATCAAGATTGTTCTTTACGAGAAATTGCCTACGAAATGGGGATTTCTGTAAAATCCACCAAACAATTCTGAAGACGAACAAATATAAATTCTCCAGTATACGCAAAGTGGATCACTTCAATGAAAGACATTACGAAGGTTCTACCTGTGACCAAGTTATCGATGTACTTAAAAGGTGGTAGTCAGTTGGCGACAGGTCTGAGGGGTATAGCGAGTGAGGCAAAACTTCGACGTTCAATTCGTCAAATTTTTGGACGATGATTTATGCCTGGGTGTTTCAGCGGTTTCCAACCACTGTCTTCTGTTGTAATGGATGATCCATTTTTCATCACACGTGACGATCCGATTCAAAAAAAGGTCATTTTGGTTGTACAAAAGCAAAGAAGAACAGACTTTAAAACGTGACAACTTTTGTCAATCGTTCAAATCGTGGAGTACCCGATTTTCGATCTTTTTGACCTTTCCAATACGTTTCAAATCATTAAAAACTGAGCTGACGCCCAGTTCTTCCGCCATCTCACGCACCGTTTGTGATGAATCAGTCATGACCAGAGTCCTTAAATCTTTGACCTGGATTACTGTGGGATGACCACTTTGGGGCTCATCTTCAAGGCTAAAATCTCCGGAACGAAATTTCGCAAACCAACGTCGAACAGTGCGTTCATTACCACTATCATTGTCAAATGCCTGGTTAACTTTTCGAGCTGTTTCGGCAGCGATTTTGTTCAATTTGAATTCTTAGAGGAAAATCAGCTGAAAATCATCGCTTTACGATTTCATATAGTAATAAGCTGCAATGAGGCAACAGAAATTCAGAAAAAAATGAACAGCATGAATTTATTGAGTAGAAAATTCTCCAAATATTTTTTGAGATATGGAGCTACAAAAACACATGATATTAAAACCGACGAAATTTTCGAAACAATGTGATATAATTGAATAGAGTATTCAAAAAAAGTAAGTGAAATAATAGAAGCCTATTAGACCATATGAATCATTTATTTATTGTGGCAAACAAACGAATAGTCCAATTACATATTCCTATGTGAAAAATAGGTTGTTCTCAACTAAGAAAAATGATGACAATAATAATACGTTAACCTACGTTAACACACGTTAACCACAAAACAAAATATTCACTACCATGAAACTGATCTGGAACGCTCCAAGCGTAATATTTCATTATGCATAAGAAATTTGCTTGAAATATCAAAATGATTAATTTAATAAAATGATCCAAAGTTATTGAAATGTTTTTTGTATGCATCAATTCTGCCTGTCAAATTAGGTAATCGTGGAATATTAAATGTTATTAATTTGGATCTGAGAAGGTGACGGGGTACATTAAATTTCAGTCTGACTAACAACGTATGCAGATTTAACAACATTCTTTCGTCCACCTTCAAAATGCTAAACTTTTCTCGGAAGTTCGTTTACTTCGAAGTTTCTCACATTTCTGTATTCGTACGGACAAGTAAAACGCCTCGACCTGCGGTCTCTGCTAAAAATTGACACTTTCATGTGCCATTGGTTTTCACATTCTCTTTTTTCATAGTAATATACCTGCAATGTAATGTACCTCTGGACTTTGAGTTTCCAAAAATTATTCACTCACCTGACTAGCAATGAATATTCTTGGGTTTTTCTGCACGGGAAAGAGTTTCTTCACACTGAAATGCTCTGTGAAAAAACTCATTTTCATATTCGATTCTAGAATAGGCAGACCAATTACGATATCTGAAATAAAAAAACAACTTATTCTCCTGAACCATCAGAATATGTTGATGAAAAAATAAGAACTGAATCAAATGTATTTGAATAAATTAACATTTCCCAATTGGTGGATTCGGAGGCGTGGATCGATTGAATGGCCAGCGCGATCACCTGATGTTTCATTATAAGATTTCTTTTTATGGAGATTTGTAAAGAGCAATGTGTACAAAACTATAACTTCAGATTTGAATGACTTGAAAGAACGAATAACGCTTGAGATTAGGTCGGTCTCGCCTGATATGTTTAATACAGTTTTATTGTTCTTCGTTAACATCCATGGTTCTTTTTGTATTTTACATTTCACTATGTTTTGCATTTCATTTCAGTTTTTGAGTGTATTTTATCGAATTTCGGTAACCACGTGATTTCAATTTATTTCATCTCAATTGTTGCAATAAACTTGGAAGTGATAACAGTTTTGAATAGAGACTGAAGAGACCTTTCAAACGATATATCACAACCCTATACTTCCAATTTAAAAAAATTGGGGGTTGTTCCTGTTATTCGAAGGGGGTTGAAGGTAGAGGTGGCATTTTTACGTTGAAGAATGTCAAATTATAATTTACATTTGACGTGTTTCAATTTTTTTTTCAAATATATACAGTAACCGAATTAATGAATTTATTCCATTTGGCTTTTACACACTGTATAAGAAATTTTCCATAAACCACACCTTACGATTTGATTTCCACAATCTTTATTTTTGAAAAATATCATGACATATTTCGTTAACCCAGTAACTTTTTCGTAGCGAATAACGTACGCTATTCACTACGTTATAATAAACTACACCTAACGATTTGATCTCCACAAACTTTATTTTCGAAATCGTGAGGTGTTGTTTAGGAAATCTTCATCAAGTAACGGCCGAATCAGCCAGAAAAATATCATATGAGGGTTTGAATAATTAGAAGTGGATGAACTTATTCATTAATTCATCCTAATGTCGATGTACTAGTATTCTATTTGTACAGTATTCACAAACGTAAATGACATTTCTGTCATATATCCATATGCACTCTAGTACGATTTTATTTTTTTTTTGTTTTGCCCAAAAATAATGTTTTCATACTTTGCACGTTGTATGTACATCTCAGTTCTGATAGAATGAAAATCAGTGATGTTATCTTTGTCTTCCTGAACATTTTATCACAGAACAGAAGAGTTTTTGATGAATATTAATCTCAAGTTGTTAATTGATTAGATCAGGTAGGGGTTGAAACAATTTAGCTTTTATCGTTCATAATTTTGTAGTTGATGAACCAAGTGACGATTGTGATATGTGAAATTCAAATTTGATGTTCTAGCTACGATATGGCTGTATTATTATAGTTCCCGGATTACTATCTCCAGAAATATATGAAATTAAAAAAAATGATATATTTGTTTCAACCGTCTCCATGCCAGGGACGGTTGAAACAGTGATTGGGGTCAGTTGAAACACATACAAATAATTCAGTGAATATTAATGAAATATACTTCACTCGTCATCAATACTTATTATATTGGTGCTGAGCGAACAATACAGTAGCATTTCTCCACTTCTGATTTTTTCGATGACAATTCCTGTTGAGTAGTTTTTATTCATTTTGCAATTTTTCTTAAACTTTTCTTCAATCTACTGTTTTCTCAACTTGCTTGGCTTTGATCCGTTTTAATTTTGCTTCATGCTCTTTTCATATAAATCTCTTTCTCTGGTGTATCAGTATAAATAGTTGATTTTCTAGTTTTTCTCCCTTCATCAAATTTCCTTGGGGTGCTTTGGGTAATAGCCATACTGTCTCCGGAATGAAGACGATACGATCATTAGTAGCTTGTGCAGTTGCAGACGGTCTTGTTGAAATTTTTTTAATGAATACCGTGCTGACAAGTCTGGACGGCGTATCTACAGTTTCTTCAGGTTCATGAATGTTCACTTGCTCAATCATTGGAACTAGTGAGTCATAGAAAGCTTGCTGTTCAACTGTGTTTTTGGAGGGACAACTGTAATTCTTCAGTTGGAAGAGAAGGCAATAATAGTGGTGTTTCACTTTCAGTAGGATTCTCATTGAATATAGGAACAACTGCAGACTTGATAGTAATTTCTGGAACAGCTATCTGTTCTTTCAGTTGTATTCTCTGAATTGGGTCTATCTGTTACAAATGCAGGAGCATAATCGATCGCAGTAAACAGATTTCGGTTATATGGGTAAAATCGTTTTGCGAAAACCGGCTTGAATGTTGGGAAGCATCTCGCTTTTGAATGTATTTCAACAGAATGTATTTCGGTCGGTAGCCAAGCGGTTCGGCGTGGGTGCTTTGTTCACTCACTCGAATTGACTGCCGTGGTGGTCAGTGGTTCAAGCCCTAGTCTGAACGATCGATCTTCACCTGCTATCGTCCAACCCGTGTTAGGAATCACACATTAAAAGGTAAGACCTCGTTAATCCCTAGCTCGCACAAGATTCGACTTTTGAGGGTTATCGTTCGTAGGAGTGCGACAGCTGGTTAACGGAAAAACAGATTTTAAACAGAACAGATTTTAAACAGGAAACAATGGTTTAAACCATGCGTGTCCGTCGCTTTCCGTAGTGAAACTTCAGCTGGAAGTCTTCCTCACCCTTTCGGCATTTTCAAAAAATTAACATTGAAATATCGTCTGTTTCAACGGTACCCACAAAATATGTTTCAACCGTCCGCAACCCCAATTTTAGTAAAATATACCTAATAGTCCGCAACCCCAATTTTGGTAAAATATACTTAATAGTTACGAAAGTAATAATAACACATTGAAAATAGTCACCGTTCCTTATTCTACAATCGTCATAATTATCACAAACACACACTCAATACATTCACTTGGGAAGAACATATAATATAAGCGTTAAAACTCACTTTTGGGTAATAAAAAACAATTAGGCGCGGCATTGAATTCGTATTCGGACCTGTCGTCAACTTCGTTTTCCCTTGCACCTCTCACTCCCCGCTCAACCGTTCACGAGATACTTGCACTGTTTCAACCGTTCTTTGTTTCAACCGTACCCAGTCTACCCTAAGTTAGATCATTCATATTTTTTTCATGCTATTCATTTATTCATGATAATATATTACATTTTAAAAATATACTCATTATACTATCCTTATCAGTTTCCCTTGAAAAATATTGAATATTTTGGATGTAATGTTACAATACTATTTCGCTCATTTCATTATTTAAGATTACTCCACCAGAAACCTAACAGTACAAGTCATTCAATTCTACGAATACTGAAGAATCGCCGTCATATTTAGGCTCCACACTCAACCTTCAATGCAACCTTAACCCTGACGCAAGTTAATTTTTTGAATAGCTATGAAACTGAATGTGATAGAAAAGAAAAAAAACTATACGTTATCCAGTTGTCGATTCTCCAAAAATTATAACTTTCAGAAGTCGGAATTTGTTTAAAGGTGGTTAACAATGTTCCATGGTGCATTTCAACTCCCGCCAAACGGTCAGTTTCCCTTAAAACCGATGAAACGGAGAAAGGGAAAGCACTCAAATGACCTATAAATAGACAGTTATTACCCGAAGAAGATTGTGGATACTAACAATCGAAACGTCGTGAAGTAACTTGGTTTGGAATCTTTGAATTTTTTAATTTTAATTTCTTGTTAATGATTTCTTAATTTTCATCTATTTCTAATAGTTCAATTTTTTTCATTTTTTGGTTGTTGCTTCTTTTTTATTTCATTTCTGCTTAATATTATTGTTATTTTCAGGTAACCTTTTTAATTTTTTTATTTTTTTTAACAGATACTGCCAGGGATTTCAAATCAATTTATATCATATCAGACAATGGTCTAATATGATATAAATTAGTCCAAACTAATGAAATACAAGTCGAAATTTGCGCGAGTAAAAGACTAAAAGGACTTATCTTTTAAAGCGTATTGATTGAACAGAATTATTTATATGGTTATTAATTTCATGACAGGAGTAGGTAGTAATTTAAGTGATCAAAGAAACAAGTAGTACATAATTAACATCAGCAACCAAATAAGATTTCGTATTTTTTATAGTTGATTCGTCTGATTCTCAAATGCCAATGAATTTGGCAACCTAGTTGATTTGACAACAAAATCTAAACAACATTGTCATAAAAAATAGATAGAATTCATTGAAATATAAAATTAATTAAAGTAAGAAAAAGAATGTACATATGATGATTTTATAAAAAATGCTTTGTTAGTGATATATTTGATGATTTCCTGATTACAAAACATTTCATTGATCAGAATGAAATGAATATCAAGTAATGAAATGTTTTTTATGTATTCAATTGAACAGTATATGTAATGACACTCAAAATATCTATATTTAACATAACCAAAACCGGCCGTTACTTGATGAGGATCCATAGTAATTTCACAAACTACACCGGAAACGTTTCCGGTAGTTTCTGAAGATCAAATCGTTTTCGGTGTAGTTTGTGCAATTGATATTTATTTTATTGATACAAAGACCAATTAAGATCGATAGGAATGAAGGAAGTCGGTTTCCGATTTTTTTGAAGGGCAACAATGTCATAATGAAAATGAAATCATTATCGACAACGAAGGCGACGTTGAACTAGATCTAGAGCAACTATTTGACGAAAATGAAGATCATGGTTCCATTAACCTCAAAACAAGCAAAGCACATATAAATTTGTTTCCGTTGAGTTCTCAACTCAATTACTACATATTTTTGTAAGACACTCCTTGCCTTCTGTTCGGTATACAATAGTATCTCATGAGAATTGCTCTGTGACAAGGGAAAGAATGAACTCAATCAGGATTGGTATACACTTCAAATTCTAGTAATTATTCAAATTCTCAGATACGTTTNGGTTTCATCTTTATAATGACTGTTCATTAATGTGTGTGTGTATACAGGGTCTTTCATGACAAGCGTTCGTTAGGAATACAAGATAGGTATTGAATGTTTTCTGAAAAATTTGACAGTTACAGCACCACTCCGAAAACATCATGAATCATAGAGAGTAACAGTTGTGTGAAATGTGAAATTTCACAGAATCACACCTCAAATATCAAGTCATGAACAGGTCCATCAAATTTTCGAAAATAAATTACAGAGTGGTCGAAATTTCCACCTAAAATATAACATCGAGAAAACTGATAAAACACGATTTTTTCGAATGGAAACCATACACTATTCTATTATTTTTGGATACTACGAGAAAAAAGATATTCAATTCATAAATAATGTCCTATACCTAAAATACACTCCTGGCAAGATATATCCGATTTTGGGAAATATTTGAAATGTAAATCATTCGAAACCAATACCAAACCAAGGAAGCTTTGAAACCAAATGAACTGATATTATATATTCCTCCATATATTCCTAACGAACGCTCGTCGTATATATGATACAAATCAAAAATGAAACAATTCGTGGAAACAACACAAAAAGGAGGCAAACCACGGACACGTGTTTCTGGCTATTGGTCTCATCAACGCGGTGCAGCTAAGTGTAAAGATGGGCAACACTTGTTTGCCGAAAGCAGGAAACAACACAAACGCACGGACTCAACAACAGGAGCCAACCGCACATTTATGGTTCCAGTTAGAAGACCTAGAATTCCTAAGCATAACATAACATGGCAGGTAGCTATAGCTGCCTACATGGTCATGTTAGATGTAGCCTGGTTTGATGCCAAGGGAAAGAGGGTTGAAAAAAAAAACGGCAGTTCTACTCTAGTTAGGTTAGGTCCACATTTACTTGTTGACAAATTCAATTCTGTTTCCCTATCTCAAAAATGTGAGTGTTCACTTCAAATTCCTTTTTCGAGTCATATCATATGGAAAATAGCCCATGGACAAGAAAATATAGTCCCCCAATTTTTTGTTGTGGGCAATAGTCAGAGCTATCAGGAATATATCTGAAAGTATGTTTCAATATGAAAAATATGTTTTTTCCGTTAATTAGCTATCGCACCCCTACGAACGACAACCCTCAGAAGTCGAAACTTGTGCGAGCTAAGGACTAAAGAGGTCTTAACTTTCAACGTGTGATTCCTAAAATGGCTTGGAAGTGAAAATAGATCGTTTATCCTGGGGCTTGAACCATCGACTCACACATCGGCCAATTGACTGATTGAACAAAGCACCCACGACAAACAGCCCGGCTACCGATATAATCATGATAGTATGCACCCTTACATAAAAAATATTAGTAAAAGTATTAGAGATTTAGGGATTGTGTTCACCAAGAACGAGTTGGCAACTTCTGAGGTTACATATAGACAAATAATGGAAAAGGAAAATAAAACCCCGACAATACAACTCAAACATCCCCAATCTGATTGGAGTCGTATCTGGTCAAATATCCTAATGAACACATATACACCAACAAGGTGGCGTTCCAGTGCTTATAAAGCCATAAATGAAGTATGCATTGAGCATTGGTGCGGATTGCAGTAAATGTAACGTGACTGATAATATTGCACATAGGTTAACAACGTGTGGTCCAGCAAGGATTATATGGGAGTGGAGTAGAAACAATCTATTTAGGATATATGGATTGACAGCTATGTACACCGAACCCAAGATAGATGATATGTTGGATAGAAGAGTGTGGGTTTGGGCAATATGTGGAATTGTTCATTACAATTTAGATGTTCATAAACACATAGGAGATTTTATTGATATGACGGCAGTTCTACTCTAGTTAGGTTAGGTCCACATTTACTTGTTGACAAATTCAATTCTGTTTCCCTATCTCAAAAATGTGAGTGTTCACTTCAAATTCCTTTTTCGAGTCATATCATATGGAAAATAGCCCATGGACAAGAAAATATAGTCCCCCAATTTTTTGTTGTGGGCAATAGTCAGAGCTATCAGGAATATATCTGAAAGTATGTTTCAATATGAAAAATATGTTTTTTCCGTTAATTAGCTATCGCACCCCTACGAACGACAACCCTCAGAAGTCGAAACTTGTGCGAGCTAAGGACTAAAGAGGTCTTAACTTTCAACGTGTGATTCCTAAAATGGCTTGGAAGTGAAAATAGATCGTTTATCCTGGGGCTTGAACCATCGACTCACACATCGGCCAATTGACTGATTGAACAAAGCACCCACGACAAACAGCCCGGCTACCGACCGACCTGGTATAATTCCTATATACGTCAAATTCCAAACCTTTATCGGCTGCATTCCTTTCAACTAGACCATATAAGAATTGAAACTTCCCACTACTTTGAGGGTTCTTCCAGGAACAAATGAAGTGGTGAATCGTTCTGGAACAGAATTCCTTCCATTTCGCAATGTGTTTTCACAAGCAGCATTGGGGTACTACAATGGATAAGCTGTTATCTTCTTCGTGGGTAATCTGTTTACGAACAGATTTGAGATTGAAGCAAGAGACGAGATGGATTTCTTTCCATGAATTTGGAACCGATACGTGGATGATGTATTTGTAATTTTCGACACGAATAAAAGTAATGTAGAGGAATACTAGCACTTTCAGATATATCCCTTACAGCTCCCACCACTGCCCACAAAAAAAATTACTGGTCATGTTCCTTTCGAGCAAAGAAATATATGATATAATTTTAAAGGATGTAGCTGAAACTAACGGGTATCCATCAAACATAGTGGATAATAGTGGACAAGGTGATTAGGAAGAGAAAATTCATAAATTCCCGACTTTTCAAAAATATGAAAACTCAAAATCCATAATTCTCATAATCCAAAATCAACATGAAAAGGGGCTTCCAAGTACACTTCAATAAGTGCAATACGATAGACAAGACAACAAAAAAGAAAAAGTCTTAGATTTACGGAATAATTCATGAGGAGAGATTGTGATAAAAATATATTGGTCAAACTAACTTGAAACTAACAAAATATCAGGAATTCATTTAATTACCCTCATTAGGCAAGGTAATGGTTTGTCTAGTTGCATAAAAGAACATTAACGTAGCTGCATATTTGTTCTGATAGATGAGACACGTTTTCAATAGGTCCTGATATTTTAATGAACATATAACATTTTAACCAATATCTGGATATAACTTCAACACTGTATTATATCGACTATCTATATTCGTTGGATACAGTTTTGATACTGAGTTATTTCATAAAATGCCACAACAAAAACTTACCTCGGTAACAAAATTTCTAATAAGTCGTGTACAATTCGTATTTTAAATAGAACATTTGAAATGTCATTCGACTGACACACAAATAATTGTTTCCAATACCGATGCAACAATGAAACTGTGAAGGTATTTACAATATTTTTAATTAATTCTTATCAGATACATTATTCACTATCTGAAATATCGCTTGTTGGTTTTATGGCAAAATATTTTGGGAGAATTATATCATACTCGGAGAGAGAGAAAGAAAGATAGTTTATTGTTATCGGTTCAAATCATTTAGTGATATATAACATTAATTTCCCACTCGACTATCTGAAGATGTCGATAATGAATTATATCGATGTTAATTTGCATCTCCAGTATTTCAATTTTTGATAGCAAGTACAAGGCCATTCTAATCATTGTCGAAAACGATTCGGAATTCTAATTAGAAATAAATTGATTGATGTAGCCGTTACTATGTGGTAGGAGATCATCATGGAAAATTAGAAATGAAACTTTCTATTTTTTTATCACTTTCATTTGTAACGATCGTTAGTGCAGTTTCGTCCTATATGGACATTTTCATTTAATTTCCTCATTTCTCTGATGTAATAGTAGGAGCTGAAAGAAGGTAGGGTTTCATCTTTATAATGACTATTCATTAGGTACACTCAATGCTCTTGGTGTTTTACCGATATAGCTTTTCCCATAATCTAATTTGTATTACATTGTATTTTGTTATTGTTAATAATTGCAAATTATTTCTTACCGAAACAACCAAATGTGATTTGTTTAGATGTGAATACCATAAATTTGAAAAAAAAAAATATGAACCATCTTACTAGTTACCTAGATGATTACTGAAAATAAGATAAGGAGATAGAATGTCAAAGGTTAGGTGGGAATAATCGACATTTCAGTTGTGGGAAAGTAAATGGAAATATATTATGAAGTTTCATAAACTTATAATTTAGTGAGTACAAAAGTATGTCAAATGATTTGTGATTAGTAAATGTGCATAAAATTATTTTTATATATTCACCACGTGTTGAAGAATTATTATATAGAATAATTTCCATCAACGCTGGCGTTCCTCAAGGATCCATATTGTCTCCAACCCTCTTCTTATTGTATATCAACGACTCATTGGAAAAAACCCAGAATCCAATGTTTTGCTTTGCTGACGATAGCACACTTTTCTCGTCATTCCATTTGGATTCCAGGACATCGGCTGGGGATGCACATCTTCACCGGCAGCCGGAGGTTGCATATCCTAATGAGGATCTAGGAGTGATTTCGAATTGGGCAGAGAGTAGCCAGGTTGAATTCGATACCACAAAAACCAAGGCATCGGTTTTCTCCAAAAATATAAATGTCTCCGAACCAGATATAATAATGATAGGACAGACAATGGGCTTGTTTCATGCTATTGAAAATGATACTGGTTTGCTTATAGACTGATCGAGTTAGGGGTATGTTATATTTATCGAGCCTAATCGGTCACAATACCTCTTTATATTTACAGAAAAAAGAAAAATTGGAGAAGCAGGAGTTTAAATTGGCCGCGTGTCTGTTGACCAATAAAATTGATCGTTTCTACAGCGGTGTTGCCAAGTGCCAATTATTTTAACAAAAATACGAAGTTATGACACATTGAAACAATACAGTGTCTCATACATTCAAGAGAGATAGCTGACTGAGTAGCAATACGATTAATATATAACGTTGAGTTTCTTATTTTTGGTGGGTGGCATGAATGCATAACTGATTTATTTTATCAGGATTCATGAGCCTTCGAGAATCATTCAAAAATATAGTTCGTTAAATTATATTCAGAACCATGGTTTTCGAGTACATTTTATTTCATATGGAGAATTTTTTTATCAATTCAAACGTTAATGGGTTCATACACACTTCCGTTATTAAAATTTCTGTGATATCAACATGAAAATGTCTACTGGCAGAGATATTTCAAAAGTAATGTTTTATTGCGTTTTGTGTTATTTGGATCCCATGTATGATTATTTCTACCTTCCAATGCTTTTCTTGCGCTTACTTCTTAGATTTGTTTGTTTGTTGAAAGTGACTGCGATTTCACTTTGAATCACGGATGAATCAGAAACTGTTTATGCGCTCCGTCAATTCTACAATTTGGCAATGTTCATTATTTGTTTTGTTCCTATTGGTCAATCGAACAAGAAGCGGGACTAGGCCCGTGACGTCACGATTTTTAATAATTATTTAAGGGAAAACAACGCTGTTTAGAGAGCTGAAACAAAGTGCACTATTTTACAATTGTAGACCAAATGAACTGTAGACTAAATATCATGAAACAAGCCCATTCTGCTTTCTCCTTCGATGAGTTTGTTGGGGGTTGAAATGGACACCAGTTTGTCTTGGCACAATTATGTCGCTGGAATTGCAAAGGCTGCTTCTCAAAGGCTTGAAATACTGTTCAGAACCAGAATACTGTACACACTTCAGCAAATTTTGACGCTTTATGAAGCTGAAATCAGACCATCCTTGGAGTATTGTTCTAAAGTATGGAGCTCCACCCCTAAGCGCACCCTCAAGCTGCTGGATTCTATCAATAAATAAGCTATCGGCCTGAACATCACTTGCAACCTTCATAGTCTGGAACATCGAAGAAAGGTTGGAGATTTGTCTCTCTTCTCTAGATACTTAAGTAGGAATGTTCAAATGCCTTGGCACATTTGATTCCACCATGAGCAATACATATCAAAAATACCTGACGGACTGTGGCTGCTCATCGGTGATTCAAATTCAATCGTAATCGCTACTTTCATACAGAAACCGCTCCATTTTCCTGTAGTGCTTGTGGTTTGTTCTTATAAAAATATTATTTTTTTTTAATTCACCTCATATTGGCAACGGATATTCTGTCTAAAAGACCGATGATTTTCGACCGTTTACAGTACTTATGTTCAGTAGTGAATTATGATGACTTTCCTGTTGAAGGGGATTTTGATGAGTTATTTAACCAGTGTTATATTAAACGTAAAAACATATTTCACTGAAATAACTTTTTGATGAGACTCAGTAATCTACCAGAAGTATTTCGGCTGTCGAACATACATATATAGAGGGTTAACTGAATTTGTTTGGTTGTACTGAGCATGTTGAATAGATTTTGTTGAGTTTGTCAGTGATCTACCTACCTGAACTATTTCGAGTACCAAAAATCATTGTGATCCTCAAAAAAGCAGACATATAGAAGGTTAAATGAAGTCAAATCAATTTGTTCGACCATAATGAGCTGGTATAAGAAATAATTTATTGAAGGGACTATCAATAAAAGATTAAAAATATTTGGAGTGTCACAATTTTTCGTCTTTGTAAAATAACGCAATGACCAAGAGATTTTTTTTTGCCGTAATAATAACAAACGATTCATTGAGAATGTGTGTCTGGGCTATAAACAACTGAATTTCTTTCTGTGCCAAAATTTTTAAATCACTCTTCTACAGCAAAGATGTCGAAAGTTATATAAACAAGGTCAAATTCAGTTGTTTGGCCGTGGCACGCGTGGAAATAATTTCTTGGCGAGACTTTCAATGTTGACAATATTTCTATAGAGTTGTTTTCAATAGGAAAAAATTTCAGTATGAGCGAGAGAGAAAATTCAAATCATTGAAAAAATATCGTAAGAAAAAAACATCACATTAGTAAATCGAACAAATTACTCACGAATATGTGAATAAAACCAAGGCCACACACAAACCCGCAGAAAACGTTCCTTATTTAATTTTTGAAGGCACCCCGAACGAGTAAACAAAAAACAAATTTTCAAATTATATAAATGAAAATCATTTTCACTAGTCATCTATCACGACAGGTCAAACGATTCGAGCATCAAACTGATCAAAATATTGAGAATTTGATTGAAGTATTTCGTCTATCGTCGATCATGCAATAGGTCTTACCATACAGTCTTTCTTTCCATTTGTATGGGTTGCCATCACCTGACTATCGATAGATTTTGGACTTCTAGTGGACTGTATTGGAGATGATAGATGCCCAGTAGTGAATCGAGAACGGTATCAAATCGGATTTTTTGATGCATTCGAACGAGTGTTTTTGTCTTTTTTCACCGTGCTCGGCCGACGATCGAGAGAGTACTGATAGAGGGTCAACCATGTTTGACCACGAGCGGGGAATTCCATGTACAGGATGTCACGCAATGTATGATAGGTGGATATTGGTGAATGAATTCTGAATCATAATGTATATATTGAAATAGTAATAACCGGATAAACAAATTTTGACATGTAGGTGATTCTGAATTTTCCCACTTGATCAACATCTAAAAAACCCAGACCATTCTCTTCAGAGACCCAAAAACCACAACCCGATCCAAACTGAAACTCGGTGATCTACTTGGTAATTACTTCCACGATAACTCTCTGAAACTGGAAAAGCGACCTTAGAGACATCCTGAACGGAGTCCAAAAAAAGAGCAAAACTTCTAAAAGCCTTGAGGGGCAAGCTTCGGAGATGCGCCAGTAGAACTTTATTACACACATATAAGATATTTAGAGACCGATCATGGACTATAAAGCACTGTGCGATCTCCCCGAGACCATCACATCGTATTCGAACCACTGAGAAGAGAATACTACGCAACATACAAAACACCCCTCACAGATTTCCCTCCAATGAACTATATGACACCGTGAAATCAACTCAGGTGTACTTGAGATTTCAGGAATTTCAAGGCCGATACATGATGGTATGTGGTTCAAAATAATATCACAGAAGATGACTTAATTCATTTGCTGCGTTTATCACCCACCAAGCGATTCACAATTCATGGTTAGGTTATGACAGGTTAGGTCCAAAGTGAGTGGGTCTATTCGAACCTCCACCGCAACTCGCAAGGGTTTATTGTGACTTACACATATTCACACTCGGCCAAACAAACCCAGCTTCTGAACGAAGCCGATTCGTTTGTATGGTGAGTGGTTTTTCAGGTCGGATGGTAAGAGTACGGCTCTGTCGAACTCTAAAGACCTGATTCGGTCCTCAGCTAGGCAGACACAAAGTATATGCTCTGTAAATTTGGTAGTAGGTAGTCAAGTTGCAAGATTCCCACCTTGATACCCACGACAACCTTTCCATTTGAGGGTTTTTGCACGTCAG